AATTTTAATATTTATTTTTGTAAATTTGCTATAGAATAAAGTTTCAGAATATGTTTCTACAATAACAACTTCATATGTTTATTTGGTGTAAAGTGTTTGTTGTTTGCTTTGATTTTCTTTTTCAAATTCATATATAATTTTTGAATTCAGGCGAAGAAAGTGTTACGAATTTCTGTGTTTATTGAGTTTACTTTTATTCTTTAGATTGCGATAATAAGGAAGAAGTTATTAATTCCAACGAGCAAGTTTCGTGTGACGAAAATAAAGTCACCTTGGAGGATTCTGTCGAGACAATAGTCCACATCATCATGGACCTTGCAGCACGGAAGAGAAAAGAAGAATCAAAATCGTCTTCTTCTGTAAGTGACAATTCGATGGAAATAATTGAAAATAATTTAACAATTCTTATCATTTAAAAGTTTACAACTGAAACACTCATGACAATCGTGCACAATCTTATAAAATGTGTTATTTAAAATAGCTGCAAATTGTTTATTTATTATTCTTTTGTATAAATAAAATGTTTATTATTTTTCATTTGTTGTTTGATTGTGTTTAATGTTTTTTGCTTATATTTTATTTTAAAATATTTAATTAAACAGAAAAAATACTTATTGCTAAAAAAAAAACAAAAGAAATGTGCTAATTTTAAAGTAAAAGNTTCGGTATTTGACGCAATCTGTTACGATATTTTATTAAACGTTTTATATTTTTATATATTATAAATTGGCTAAATCTTAATTTTAAGATTAGGGATAGGTTTTATAAAAAAAATTGTAAATGCTAATAACAAGTAAAATCGTCATTAAGTCGGATCTCTATTATCTCTCCACTCCCTCGACCTTTAACATTCAAAATGTAATAGCATTAATCTCTCTAATACACAAACCTATCTGCAAAATGTCAGAAATTTTCGAATAAAAGCACAAGAGTTATTAAGCTTCAAACAGGGTGAACAAAATTGTGCTTCACACATACTAACATCTATATATAGGGAAATTATCCTTGAATTTTTTTGGACTTTTTGGCATTTGAAGGGGTCGTAAGTCCAAAAATAAAAAAAAAATCTGGGGGTTATTTTATCGGATCGCTTTATTTTCCCTCAGTTATAACATCCGGAAAAGTAATAAGGCATAGTGAACAAGACGATAAAAGAAAATCTGTCATTTCAAGTAACGTCAGATTAATAATTTAGGAATGTTACGTAACACTCTGAAGCTAAAAACGGGAAGAAAAAATGCGTGCGCGTGTTGGCATTCATTTAGTTTAATAACTCAGGATATGAGTAATGATTAAGAAACGAAGTTTGTTATGGTAACTTGCGTATAAAGGACATTTGATGATTTATAAAATTTTGATAGTAAAGGTGATGCTATTTTTTAGGTCGATTAGGGTAAACTTGCTTAATTCGTACTTGCGCTTAATTCGTACTTCGCTTATATCTCGACTCCGGTAATAGCTATTAGTGTCTCTAGTAGCAAAAAAAGTAAATAACAATCGGTCATATTATCATCTGACAGACAACACGCTGTTACTCTGTTCCCGACAAAAATATTGAAAAGGAAAGTTTTTTCANGGAATTATCAGTACATATACAACATTATTTCTAAAAAAGTATTTAAATTTAATTATTTTATTGTGTAATATAAAAGAAATATGCATAAAAAGCCTTATAACAGATTAACGCCTTCGGCCTCAAAGGAACATAATTCTCTATTGTGCAAAATAATTAATTTATAGATCAATATAAAAATTCAAGGCTTTCCTGGCTTCGCTGGATGATGTGATAGTGGAGCCGTATAAATGAGAACAAAATTTAAGTTTGATCAGTAATTTAATGAACAACTAATCACACTCAATCTGGCAC